TATTTTCTTTCAATTTTTTGTGACCTTAAAGCTGTATTTGAATTTGCTTCAGTAGTCTGCTGAAAATGCCTTGAACAGTCCTTGCCTCCTAGACTTTCCCAAGCTTCTCGACATTTATTTCTTCTAATTCCAATTTTCCCAGAGTAGAAATGAAGTCAGCTAGAAATCTTACACATAGCTGTGAAAGTGAACAGCAATTCATTGTCACTGTGCTCACAAGTATTGAAAACTCATAGTGGAGGAGAAACAAAACTGAAAATTAAGTATAAATACTTTTAAGTAATTTTAAGCAGAAAATTTGAAGAAGCTTAAGTTCATAAGCATCATTTCATACTAGTCATCATGATCATGAAGAAAAACCATAAATTTCCCAAGATTTTGCATAGTAAGTCATATCAAACAATCTGAAAATCTTATTGCCGTCACCATACAGGTTTATTGTGATGGTGTTCTGAAATGGAACCACACGTTATCATTTTTTGTTTTTGTTTTGTATATTTGTACTACAAAAAGAAAAAAAGAAATAATAAGGTAGTTGCAATTAGATCGATACAAGACCTTACTGAATGCCTAAAACTTACAAGGAAAGTAACTTTTATTATTAAATAGAAACTTGAATTGTTCATTCTAATGATGAAACCATAAAGAGTGCCTTTTTTCAGGAGATCAGCAGAACGAAACACTTCAATATTTTTAATTAAAAACTATAAGGCTTAATATTCTCTAGAATAATCATTTGACAGATTGACATTACCAAGCTATGCTTTGGTTTCCAAAATAAAAGCCTAATCCTCATGCCATATAAATTAGGTCTCCCAGTAACTAGACCAAACACCATCAAGTCATTGATCATCAGATGCTAACAGCAGAGCGTCTCTCTCATATTCCCTTACCCACAACTGTGGTAGTTCATTATGATACTTACAGAAGATTAAAGAGTGATAAATCACCACATTTCCAAGGAAGGTTTGGAGAAGATAGCAATCCAGCAGGACTTCTTGCTTGGTCATAAACCTAGTGATGAAATTAAACTTCTCCCTTTCGTGCATATCAGAAAAAATCATTTCCACTTTGAATACTGAAGTCTCATTCCACGACTTTGAATTCCAACAGTTCTGTTCAATTAATCACCACCCAGCTATTTTTCTGGAATTCAGTGGAGTTTACATCACACTTTAGTTGGATCAGAATCGAGCCTCACACCTAATTCTACATTGTGTACTTTCAGTAATTATTCTGCTCACATGGCAGAATACAAGTGTCTCTACTTCCAGTGTAAATTTATTCCACATTCAAATGTATTAAATGTAAAGCAGTCAGGTTCTTGGAAAAAGACCAGAGTTTTTAATGTAACACTTAAATTTATACTCTTCAGAAATACGTATCATGTAAAATGTTAAGAAAAATATTTACAATTTTTGACCTGCCATTTATGCCAATTGAGATGTGGCTGTGGCTGCTCCTCAGATAATTTCTTCCGCATACAAAGAGATGGTGTTAACTGCACTTCTCCATTTGCTGGCAGAATGGAAGCTATTGTACATCCCGATCAAAAGTAACAAGAAAAATGAGAACATTGCTTATAATCTCAGGAGGTACACACATCACACCAGTATGCCCAGTAAGGACAGGAGTGTGCATCCATGAGACAGTGAAGAACCTGACCCTCAAGTTCCTTTATTAAATGCTATTTGGCCAACGTAAGATGACATTTATAACATTTAAATGCCTTCAGAAAACAGGAAGTTTGGGAATTATAATCTCCTTGAAATCAACTCTGAAGAAATTATTCCATTCAAAAAGTTTGCTCAAGACTGACCTGTTTTGTTTTTTTTTTTTTTTTTCTTCAAGTTTCACACTCTTGAAACAAACAGCTGACTTTGAAGCTCATGCTAACAGTGTTTAGAAGCCTATTTTTGAAGAATATTTTTCAGTAACATTTTTCATCTCCAAAATTGGGTAGGTCTTTAAAAATAAACTTCATAGGAATACAGGGAAAAGGAAACAGTGCAGAAGCATAAAAATAGACTCAGGAGTCCAATAACAAACTATAAATCATTCATTTCCATCACACGCTGACTTGCAACATCATTTCTGCTTTTAGTAAAGAAAGGAGTTCAGAATGCTTTGGGACAGGTTAGCTCCTTCCAACCCTAAAGCAATTAAGCTTGGTCCCAAGACAATGAAATTCCAGGAGACAATGGTGTAAATCAGTTTTACCTTGATCTCCAGTGATTGTGCTAACAACAGAATTTCTAGCACAGTAGTGGCAATATAGTACAGGCTCCTTAAAAAAACAAAACAAAGAAAACCCCATCAAGCTGGCTTAAGAAATCAAATTCTATAATATAGCTATGGAGAAAAAATGTCTAACATTTACCTTGAGAAATAATGCTTAGAGATGATATGTTATAGGCTATCACTCTACATTCTTTGTGTACCACAAATTTGCAGTGAAGCAAGGATTTCAACCTCTGGAAATCCAGCACTTATTAGACAGTATACATGGAGAAAAATTAGATTTATAAGACATAAGATTCAAGACTATCCTTTTAGACCTAGAACTGAAATATTAAGGAGAAAGACTGTATCACACATCACGTTGGAAAGCAATGTACCAGTCTCATTAGCTTCTGAAGACTGTTTTGTGAAGCAGAATACACGGACAGAAATCATCACCTAGTTAATGAAGGCACTGCCTGATAGTTAAGTCTAACATATCTGTGAGCTCATTCCCTACATTTCCCACAGAAAAGAAAACACAAATTTTAGCACTGGCATGACTAGAGAAAACACAATAACAGTGCAAATAATATTATTATCACTGCCATACAAACTCATAGTCTTCATATATAAAACTTCTAAATGCTAGATTGCTCCCTTGAGTGTTTTCAAGATCCTAAAACGTGTCAGCAGATTACCAAATCTACCTCAGATATATTAATTTTGCAGTGGAATAGAACATTACACCTCAAGTTGCCTAGCTTTAAAGTTGGATGAATCTGTGTGGACTGTTGTTGCTGTTGATGGGTTTTGTTTGTTTTAAAACAGCTTATCCAAAACATTTGTGTAAATGGTTAAGTACAAGACCAACACACAAAAATTCTGACCATGAATCACAAGTAGTATTTTAAACCTCTGCTATTACAAACTGAGAAGACTTTTTCTTTTGGATTTAATTACATTTTATAAATAAATCCAGTATCATCTTTTATAGTGCAATTTATTTTTCTACAGACTCAAGTAAAACCTGACTATCTCCTAAACAAATACTTATTAACATTACTCAGAGTGTCTGATATTATATAAAACAGTATGTATTGTCAAGATTAGCCAGATAAACTAACAACTCTAATACCTCTATGCACAAGAAGAACCACTTGCTGCCATAAGCATATTTTTTTCTTATTCCTGTCTCTTGCTAGCAGCACACAGAGTGACATGTAATAAACTCTTCAGGAACACATCTATTCTTTTAAGTTGAACTGGGAGTAGCAGAACAACATAGCCAGAAGATTGAAAACTCTAATGATTTATGATAGGAGAGCAATGAAGAAAAATGGAAGTGGGTGGACAGCAACTGAGGTGTGACATCAAATGGATTGAGTGGGAAAGCAAAAAGAGCAAATGAATAAGGAAAGAAACAAATGAGATGTGGAAAGACACAGAAGACAAAATTGCCAAGAGTTCATCTAAAACAGTAGTTCTTAAATCATGACTCAGTAAAAGGAAATTAGAAAACCAGTCTGACAGGAAGAGTGAATTATGATGCTGCTGTCAGTGTCATACATCTTGAGTGATGTTGTCAGGAGAGCCAGTCATAACAGAGCTACTGGCCTACCATATGGTGAGTGCAAGTGTGGAATGACTTTGTTAGCTATGTGTCTGAAGAATAGGAGAAGGAATGCAGCTGCTAGCAAGGAAAGGGGAACCAAAACAGGGAGGGAAGGAGAATTATTGGCGAGCTCAACTGGAAGCAAGATCATACCCTTGTTAACTGGTCCACACAACTGAGGTAATTACCACATAAGTCTCAAAACCTCGAGCACTATAAAAGCTGAAAAGCATTCTGTTAAGGGCCCCAAAATCTTTTCAGAAACTGAGGTGAGTTCCTGTGCAGATATATAGGTAACATAAAAATGACATCCATGGTGCACACAAATGTTTTATCCAGTGTTCTTTAAAAACTTCCTGAAATTATAACTGAATAAGAAAGAAAATTCTACACAGGCAACATGTGCAGTGAAAGGAGAACAGCGATGGTTGGGGAAATTCTCTGAAGTATAATTGCAATGTTTTAGCATATTTTAATTCATTTTAAAAAAAATAATCATAGAAGATAACATGTTCTCTATATAATCTGTAGTATCTGGTCTGTATTATCAGTCCAAGCAGAATCAACACATAAAGGAAATGAAACTTTCCTAAAGATATCCATTCTAACCGACCCTCACTAAAACACAACAAAACATAGAAGAGATGGCAGGTATGGACAGGCATAACCCCCTCCTCCAATCTCTAATACTGCACGTAAAAAAATCAAATAAAGTTTTACAGGATTTTTTCATTGAATATGTCATAGCATTAATCTTGCATAATACTAACTTATACTTCATGTAGGAGAGAAACTTGTCTGCCAGACACTTATAACAACTCTGCATCCAGATTCTGAAGAATAAGCTGAACGCTTTTTTCTGATTGCCCTGTAGAGGAAACTGCATGCCTCCAGAGTAGCTGTCCCCAAGGAAATGCAAAACAGGCTCTTCTGTTTCACAGTTCTGAGCAGGAGACACAAGTCTGGTGAGTTGGGCCAGGATGCAGAAGACCAGCTGAGACTAATGTCAAGAACTTTATTCACTGCCTCCTCTACAGGGAATAGGAAGATGCTGGAATGTCAGGGGAAGATTTTGGGGCTGAAAGGAAAAAAGTTAAAGGCCTGCTTTGTTGAGAAAGGCTACAAAAAGAAAAATGGAAAATATTTCTGTAAACTGAAAACGTACCGTGTGCGTCTCTTCTGTATTTTTTTCTCTTTGTATTGGAGCAACTGGAAATTCAAGGAGGGATTTTACCGTCTTCCTTTTGGCTCTTTCCATTTGAATATTAGTAAAATAGTTGACAGCAGCAAACTCGATAAGAGCAGAAAACACAAAGGCAAAGCAGACCGCAATGAACCAGTCCATGGCAGTAGCATATGATACTTTTGGCAGTGAGTGTCTTGCACTGATGCTCAGTGTCGTCATTGTCAACACTGTGGTTATTCCTTCAAAGAAACAAAACAAAAGCACTGCTGAATGCAAGTAAATCAGACAGAGAATATGAAAGTAGACAAACAGCTTCAAACAAAGAGTTTCATATCACCTATCAGTGATTTAAATCTCTATCTCTGCTTGTAAAGCCAACTATTATGAATGAAAAAGCAGTTACACTGGAAAAAGTTATAACACAAGTTACTCCAGTGAATGTGACACTCAATCTTGACATCAAATGGAAGAAAATAAATCTCCTACTCAGTTAAATATATGTATATATATTACCACAAATCGAAGTAATAATACTAGAGATTTTCACATTTAAATCAACACAGGAAATACAGTATAACATAACTACCTTTTTTCCAGCACTGCAAAATAATGCACTGTGTAATACAACTGCTATTACTAGTCTATTACTGCTCTACCACTGCAAGATTCAGATGTTGCCATCAGACAGTGCACCCTGTGTTTGCCTGATAAGACAATCTTAAGAACCTTTGAGATCCTACACTCAGCAATCCACCCTTCATAAAAATGAACACAGGAAAGAACTGACAGAGTAAAAACAACTCATTGCTCTGTTAGATTAAGAAAATGGAGGAAAGCCTTTCTATGCATCTTATGAATACTGCATTAGATTTAAGTCCCAGCAATCACCATGTACTAATGAGCAGAGTTGTACACACACAACAGGTAACCAGTTTTTAAGAGAGCCATGCCTTCACTAGATCACTTACAGTTCACATGCAGAAATGGTAAAAGTCTTCAATACATATTTTTTATGTCAAATTTTGTAGAATTTCCTACAACAAATAATTTTCTAAACGTTTGAATGTAATTAAGCTGATTATCAGGTGTATGTTTTGCTCACTGGACTGCAAGAACAGCATGATTTTTCCTTTAATGGTTTTGGAAAGCTACCTATTACTCTGATCACGCTCATAAGCCAGATGCCACTAAAACATGGCAAATATTTTTGGTGCTAAGGAAAACTCAAATATTATGTTAACAACTCTGTTAATTAGTAAGTCATAACCTTATCTTTTAAATCCTTCTGCTACTAGTCGACCAGTTAAATTTAATTAGGATTTCATCTTCTGAAAGAATAACTTCAATTAAAATATACATGCATGAACACTGAGCAAAATATGACCACTTTATTGTGACACTTCAAGTGCAAACACTAGCTATAGAAAAACAAAAAATGATTTTTTTTTTCCTCTCATCCAAACTATTCTAAGACTCGTTAAAACATGAAGTATCCCCCATCTCCCACATAAAAACTACCATGTACAGGGTGAACATTGCTCAAGTGCTACCACAATGATCTCAAGGAAGATTGACAACAAGTGCATGTATCTTCACTTTTATGAAAACAACATTGTACTCGCACAAGATTAAATGTATGTATGGAAAGAATTCAAAATAATTGATAGTCTGTCTTCAAACAGGACCTTCACCCACCCTGTTTCCTAAATAGGCATATCTCATTTGGGTAACTTACCGAGAAAAAACCTTCAACTAGACACTGTCATACAGAAAATAGGACAAAATTAAGCCAGTCTCTCATATTAGAGCTTTTTGTTGCTGTTGCTAGCTTAATTTTTAAAGACAAAGAAGCAGTGTCTAGTTCATAAAAGCTCAAATAGCATTTCAGAGCAAACTCAGCAGGATAAAAAACACAAAATCTTCCTCAGTGGGAAGGTGTTAAAAAACACGCCACTAAAAATATTAATTCTGAGAAAGAATTATGGGAAGTTATTTTATGCTGAAAGAGACACATCCCTGCTTACCCTATCCTTCCTGATTCTACTCTTGCAGTCTTCAAGCAAATAGGTTCTCTGAATTGTGTTTTAAAAAGACATTTACTTAATAGATTTAAGAATAGGATGAAATGACTCAAATGACAAACGAATGATTAAGCAGATATATGGAGCAGAGGGCAGGCTGTGATAGTATTACACTGTTTATTACCCCAATCTTCCTCGTTTTTTTCCTATTAAAACATTCCTCTGAGAGGCTTGCAAGTTGCCACTGTAGCTGTTCCTAGATACATGCCAAGGGCAGGAAATTAAGTTCTGGTAAAAACCTGTGTGTACATGTATATATAGGTACACACACACACACACAAGATTTTACTAGAACTTAATTTCCTGCCCTTGTGTTTATATGCATATACACACATATATACACACATATACATATGAACTGTAACTATCCAGAGCAAAATACTTGCAAGCTTCTGATCAGAATTACACATAATTGTGAAAAAAATATACTAAGACTATTTTACTATTAAAAAAAAAAACTTGATTAGAAAAGAAAATTCTCTCTTTCTCACTTTAAGAAACACTAGTCTTCCTCAACCATCAGATTCACATGCCTATAACTCTTACTGGGGTAAGTTAGTAAGATTTATTAAACTCTTAAAAGTTTCAGCACCAGAGCAAGAAGTCTTCATAAAAGCTATAAACCACTACTTCACATGCAATTGAATAAACATGCCTGGCTAATATGCAATAGACCAGTGCAATGTCCTCACATCTTCCAACTCATCCATGCCTTCTCTGGCTTATTTGCAGCACTGCTACCCAGCTTTTTTGGACTATGGTGGTCTCAAGATTCACAAAAGAACCTTAAGGATATGTGCTGCTGTTCCATGCATACTTTATCAGACCACTCAGCACTCACATGCTAAAACTGGAAGAGAAGTGTGTCATATGGTTGTAGTTAAGTCAAATGACTGAACACAGATTCATTACTAGAATTTAGTTGCATGCCCAATCCCTCCCCATTTTATTTTACTTTGTTTTTAATATGGACATAAGAAAGTAAAAGGTCACACTTATTTGTGAAAAAGTGTCCTGGAAGACAACTCCCAGCAAGATACTCTTATTTCAGGGATACGTAAATAAAGCACTCACCAGCAAGATAAACTGTTCAGACATCATACAACGGGTCTGTAAGCAAGAGATTATGCATGTGTTCTATTCAAGTGGCATACTAGAGCTACATAAAAAGACAGATGTTCTCTGAATGCTATCTCCCAGCCACACAACTTGTTAAACATTCAGAATATATAGCAAAACCAAATTATGTCTTTGTTCCATGTGAAAAGCATTCATAGAGCATCATGTTCAAAATCTTTTCCATAGTAACAGACATCTTGACAGGCAGAAACTCCCTAGATTGTTCCTTGTGTGTCCTTTCTGTGTTATCTTTGCCAAGTTCTCTCCAGCCATGCATTGTCCAATGGAAAGTCTTTTGTTTAGCTTCTTCTGACTGTTTCTCTGGAAAGTCAGTATCACAGCAGATATTCTGGCTTCATTTTTACATCTTGTCTGCAACATTTCTATATTCTCTTAAAATTACTTTTATGGTCCCTTTTGGCGCTTGACGGAAAACTTTATAAAAGTACTTATAGCCATATTGTATGACATTTCTTTTCAAAGCATATTAGAAACTAAATGCAACTTAATAGATGTCCAAACTTTATTATTATTATTTGTTCCCAGCTTCTTATGTGGATATACTGACACATATTTCTTCTATTGCTGCATAATTTGTGCATTTTCATTACCACATTTTGTTTATAAATACAGATTCTACTTTTCCAGTTTATGGCTATACTTAAGAAGTACCATTATTCAACATTACTGGAAAGACATGTGAAATAACATTCCTGCTTGCCGGATATATTTTCTTATAACTAATGATTAATCTTGTCTAATTTGTGATACCAAACAGCGTTAAGACTTTACTTACATGTTTGGGTGAGCTATCACGTAGAAACATTAATTCTTGTCCCTCTTTCCAGCATCTAGCTATATCAAAGCTTTCTTGTAGAACATTTTCTTGATTAATCTAGCTTTCTACTAGAGTATATTGTAAAGTCAAGACATTTCTCTCTATGAAGACTGCTTTTAAAAATGTTTTTGTCTTATTCCTTTGTTAGGAACCATATTTCCATTTAATTCCTTTAATTACTTACACTTAATCTTCTGCTGGTGCTTTTAAAATTTTTATTTTCAGTGTTTACTGTACCATCACATTTAAACTGTATTTTGATTAATTCACTTTTAATATCTTGCAATCATTTTTCTTTATTAATTCATTTTCATAATGGCAACAGTAGATAGGAAAGATCACTATACATGAAATTACATCTAAGCTTTACCCTCTGCAAGCTTCCACTGATGACATAGATATCTATATATCTACATTCACATGTTCCCAATCAAGTTATTTTAATAGGATTTCAGAAAGCATGCATTCAAGTACTGCACTGCAGCTCACTGAAGGATAAAACTGGTCTGTATACAGACTAAGGACTAAATCATTTCAGGCCAAGTCTTCTCATCCTGATACCCCAAGCACCTAAAATCCTCACCAGTGTACACCGACTTGCCACAGACAACCAGGTTATGCTTCTTGATAAATATTCCAAACTTCTTCTGAATCAAAGGTCTCACAAACTAATTTATTTATACACTGATAGTGACAATTCTTCTGAGTTTACCTTAAGTCCTTGCATCTGTGCCAGTACAGAGGCAGTATGCTTGTGACCTTGTGTCTAGTCTAGAGAAAATAGTTGAGAAAGCATGATAAAAAGTGAAAAAACTGAAATAATTACCAAATACAGTTCTAGCTGGTACAGATTCCTTATTTATCCAAAATGAAACTTGAGAAAGGATGACGGTCATAATGCACGGGATATATGTCTGAATCATAAAATAACCCATTTTCCGTCTGAGGTGGAAGTAAACTGTCATAACAATATATTCACCTAAAAAAAAAAAAAAAAAAGTATTTTTCTGACTACACATTTTTTTATGTCACAGATTAATTGTTCCAAACTACCAGCTAAGATTCTTTAAGATTCATACAACAACATATTTAACATGTGTAGAAAGGAAGACATCTTATGAAACAAGAACAAAGATAAGCTCTAAACAAAAAATGTTGGAAATAGAAGGTCCTTATAGTGTCATTCTTAAAATGCTATCTAAAATATTATAAATGTGTAGCTAAGTCTGGATCAGTTTTTGTAATGCAAGTATGATTTGAAAATTCCTTTAGCATCTGCTGAAGAGAATACTCTAGGTTTATATATTAGCACCACAATGATAATGATATAAATGCAAAAGTCATTAACAATAATTAAAAATAGTGTAAGTTTAGATGAAGTATCATTACTCATATTAAACGAAACAATTACATTTTCAGCACAAATGGAGTAAACTAAATAGTAGGAAGAATACAGGAAGAATTTTGTAGCCATAGTAGGGAAACCAGGTCATTCACTCATAAAAATTGATCAGTGAGCAGGTCAACTTCTATGGTACTGCAAAATACTGTTTTGTCCTTAAGAAAAATATCCAGAAAGCAAATATGCGTTGTACTGCTCTATCTGTTTAATTATGACCATCTTACAACACCCAAACTTGCTGATGTTTAGAAAATGATTCCAATTTTTAAAAATATTTTGAGAGTATGCTTGCTTATCAGTAAACTGCTCATAAGTGATACTTCACTCATTTAGGATGCCCATAGTTGCCATTTGTGCTGTAAGAAGTAAGGCAAATCAGCAGAAGTATCTATTGTGACTAATGCATTCGTGCCTATGCTTATCTGACTAGAGGGTTTTTAATGGTTTTAATAACTCATTCTGTATGCTCTACTTTTATCCTGAGCTGTTTGTTCCACCAAACAAAGGAAGTCTTTTGCACATAATGTGGTTACAGTGCTGAGAAATTACTTCCTTACCCAGGCATCCTCTTGACTCTTCAAACTGCATTTTAAGCAGTGATTAAATACTCATTTTGTCCCTTCGAGAAATGATCTGATTCTAGCTTTCTGAAAGACTTTGCAATCTACAGTAATGAATCTGCAAATGTATATCTGAAGGACAGAAACCTAATTCAGATCTACGCTTTCACCTCCTAATATATAGCCTATGACATTCAGTAAAATTCCTAATATAAAAGAAAGCAAAAAAGCCTAGAGTAGTATTACAGGGTTAGTTTGACTGAAATTGACTCTTACTGATGCAATTCCTACCTGTAATAGATTTAATGGTTTCACTGGACACCGTATGCCCTAGCAGGTCATACTGAACTAAACTGGAAGACTCCTCAGGAACTTCCACTGACTTCTCAGGTCCTTTTGTCCAGGTATAAATCATTTCACTCTTTGGATATGCATCTACAACACAGTACCAGTTTGCATAAATAGGAAACAACTTCTCAAACCTTACTAATGCCACCTCCCCAAATTTACCAAAATCAGTAAGACTCGCAGTAACAGCTTTAGAAGACAACCTCTGTGTTACCCCCCCCAAAAAATAAACTGGAGGCTAAGGTAGTATATCAAGCATTATACACAAATTAGACTTCACATTCAAATATGAAGTTAAACACTACTTCTTTCTACATTGGCCCTTAGTAAACATGGGCAGGTTATCTTCAAGCTATTTTAGAAATTTCTATCCAAAATTTTAACATTAAAATATACTGTTCTGTAAAAATAGCATGATAAGGAGGGTACATTTTGGAGATGAGGTGCACATTTCTTTACATGAAATAATGATTAGTCTAAAAGCAGAAATTTAATTTCTTCTGCCAGAAACAGAGGTCAGTATAAGATTCAAAGCAGCCCAGAAATAAGCACACCCAAAGAAATATTGTAACATTTAATATAAAAGACATCACTTACAGCTAGCATTCAATCCCTACGCAGTCCAAACTCCTGTTAAAATTAAATTAAACCAATCTTGCATTTGAAATTGCTACTTCAAGTTTCACTGAAAAAGATACCAGATTAGTGTCAAACACAATTTCTACTGATTTATGATTCTGCCCTAAGAAATATGCCAGTGGAGAAGTCCCCATTATTGAAGCTTCCCTAGTGCACATCTGATGCCAAAGCCACTTCTAGCAGGACCTGGTTTCTAATTTCAATAACTGGGAAGAAAAGCCCTATCAGAGAAGCATCCTTAATATCCTCCTTTTGCTTGGCTATTGAGCTGTATAACTTAAATGTATAAGCTAAGGGGGTAAGCAGCTTCCAGCAAACTCTAACTTCAGAATTCAGGGGTCAAGGAAAACAGATTACTATCCAGCCACTGACAACATCCCAGTGAAAAGCAGAAGCCAGTGACCAACGAGGCTTAGAAGAGTGACAAGATAGAAAATGAAGCACATCAACCATACCCACGTGGTCACAGCAATCTCTGCTGTGGAATAAAATCAAAAAGGACTCATTTCTACCTTTCTCTGTTGCATGTAAAATGGCCCAAAACATTACTCCTAGCAAAAGTCAACTATAGGATTTTGGATAACCTTCACACTTCAAAGCAGAAAAGGACAGTCATCTGCACTACACTGAGACTTCTCTCACCAGTCTAAAAACTATCTAGCCTGTAGTTGTCATGCAGACTCCCTTTACAGGCCAGGAGATAGGATATAAGATGAACAAATCTTCATACTTAACGTATAACCTATCTTAGGACATGAACCTGACTCCACTGACTGTAAAGAAAGACAAATAAACAGCTTCCCCAGGCACCTTTTACCTGACTGCAGTAAGCTGAGATGGATCCCACCCTCTTCTGCAGAGTATCTCTTGCTTCACTGAGTGTTCAATTCATCCCAAGAAACCAAAAAAAAAAAACTATATACTTCAAACAACAGTGTAGCCAGTGAGTTTAAAACAGTATCTGAATCACTGTCCACTTTTCAGTTCTCTGAAATGAGTTTAATTTTCAGGTCCTAAATAAAATTCCCAAAGAACTTAACAGGAGTTTTGCCTGCATATGGATTGCATATCACAACTAATATTCAGAAAATTCACTAATTTCTCAAAATCTACTTCTACTATTTAAATTCTGTAGTTACAAGAAATTTCATAATTGTAACTTACAACTCCCAAATTTGAGAGGACAAGCATGACCATCCATGGGAAAATCCACTAATCTCATGGGACACTCTGCACTTATTGTAAGCCTATAATGGAACAAATTAAATAGTCTCTGGTTGCCATTTTGTCTAGGCAGCACATCTTTTGCATACAGTAATTGTAAGAAGCTGAAAAACAAGCTAGATACCTCATTGTATACAGGATCGTGCCATTCCTCATTATTCTGAAGAGTTTATTTGGGGCGGTCATGTTATGTGCAACAGACTTTTTCCCATTCCTGAAGAAAGTGTCAGGAGTCCAGACCTTCGAGACCATCAAGTTGTTAAGTCTTAAAATTTCAATAGGGCCATCATATTTTAATCTTTTGTCTACCCATGTCTGACGGAAGAAGACATCCATTGTATACTCCTGTATTTTGCAGAAAAATTGCAGAAAAATAAAGATCACATTTGCTTGTATAAGTGTTTCCTGTAAAAAAATAAAAAAAATAAAAAAAATAAAAAAAAATAAAAAAAAAAAGAAATCCCTCAGGAGCAAATAAACTAGTAGTAAAGAAAATGCTAAGTCCACCACACAAACGTAATGTCACCAATTAAATAGTTTTGTGTACTCCTTAACTTAATTTCCCACATTAGTCATATCAATAAATTGATACACATGTTTAATCATTAAGGAATAATTAATCTAATTAGATTGCAGGAAGCAGGCAGTTTAATTTGTAGTCAAGTATATAACTGGAAACAAAATGATCTGTAACAACAAATGTCAACATTTTAAAAGACATTTTTAAAGAAAAGATAGCCAGCACTGAAAAAAAAAAAAAAAAAAAAAAAAAAAAATAAAAAAGATAAACTAAAGTATCAGGAGAAATGATTACTTACATTTCAAAGCCAAAAAAGGAAAGTTTAACTTTAACTGATTAAAAGTAAACTTTCAATGGAGGAAAGCTGAACATTTTCTTTGTCCTGTCCACAAAACACATACAATGAACTATTCATAGACTTGTAAAAATGCACATTTATTTTTAACTACATAGCTATTCCATTCAATTCCTCAGAAAAGTCATTCAAGTGCTCCAAAGGAAACATATAAACTGCAGAACTGCAGACACAAGTACATCATGAGAAATCACATGCAAATTAATTGATAAAGGAATGCATTTCTTATCTTGGGAAGTTAAAGCATTTTAAAACAATTACGAGAACAATTACACGGCATTGAAGAAGGTAGCACAGGAAACTTCAGTCCCTTGTAACTCAAAGCTGCATCTTTGTGTTAAGCCAAATAATGCACTTAGAATTCATTTCAAACTCCTCTGCATATTATTACCACTTCAGTGGTCATATTCATATGGGCACGGATGCATCTCTACAAGAGTAATGCATCTTAGAACTACATTTGGTTTCTTTTCTATGGATGTATCCTCAATCTTGCTTTACTGTTGTGCGGAAAAATGCAGATTATAGCCTGAACAGGAGACTAGAAAGGGCTCATGTTATCTTGGGAAGACAAGTAAACCACCTCTAGCTTTTGCATGGAGAAGAAATTTGCTCTACAGCTGTAACTAAGTATCCTCTCTTTCTGTGCATGGCCTTGACTATCCGGACGCACAATGCTTTATTGTCTCCCACTTATATATATTGTGGCAGTACTAAGGATGGTTAGCAGACATCTTGCTAGCCTGCTGCCACTGGCATCTGATGGGGATGATCCCAGAGCAGACACTATTCCAGTTGACAACCACTGGTGCTGGGACTGACCAGCCAATTTCCCCATAACGTGAGTACCTCTCTATTAAACTGATGAATGTTAACTTTCCTCTGTGTTCTTCCTTCAGGACTGGTAAGTCTTGAGCAGAAGTGCTGACGTTTTTGCATTACAACAGTGAGTCTATGAGAAGTCTCTCTTCTCTGTCATCTCTTGATAATAATTTTGTAGCTTGCAGTAGCAGTTTCTGTTATCAGCATGCACATGATAGATCTTGTAAAATGAGAGTTCAACCTTTTTCATAACTCTGAGAATCAAACTAAACCAGTTCTAAAAAAACATTCAGATTATCCCATTCTGAGACTCTCACACTCCACACTTTCAACAAGGTTTGTGAATACAGCCACATTCATATCACAATGGGTATATTCATTTCAAAACCAATTCCAAGATCCCTGAAAATCCTCCTAATCAATCCCTAATGACAAAAGGGGAAACATCTGCTGTAAATTCTCTTTTTGCCAGTTCCTTACCTACCTCCATTTCTTGTTTTCACTCCTGCCTTCTCCAAGGTAACCAGTAATTTCTCATGAGGCAGCACATAAAATGCTTCACTGCAGCCCTCAATTTAGAGTTGAGGCACACATTACTAGACTTAATATTCCACATTCTTGTACCCTTTGTCACATTGAACAGCATCATACTGTGCATTGAATGTGTAAGATGCAATTCCACACAAGACAAGCATAGGGACATAGTCCTTGAATAAAAACAGCTTGCTGTCACATGCTTTTCCACAGGATAGAACCAATCACTTGCCCCAGAAAGTGCAGGATAGCACAATGTATGAAGGACATTACCGCCATGAAACTGCCTTTCCCTCAGAGAAGTATAAACATATAAATGTACATATGGCTCTGTTACTTCCATGTTTCATATAAAAAATCCAAGAAATGAGAAACTGTTGTGTGATTTAAGGGTATGCTGTAGGCACATTGCAGTGGATTTGACCCCAAATGCAGTTGCCTTTCAGGTACAAATAACAGTACATGCAAATGCAATGTTTGTCTTCAGTGAATACTTTGTGCATGTCATTTTGACATTCAATTTCTGCAGACAGTTATGAAAACTCCTATTAGTCAAATGTTTCCTGAAATTGATGCTAAAAGTGGCCCAAAGACCAACAAAGGGAATTCATCTGAAAAGAAAATGTCAACAAGTATTTGTGAAATTATGTCATTACTATTCACCTGAGAATAACGCGCATTTGAGAAGGGAAAGGCAATTTCAAAGACATTACTTTTTTTTCCCCACAGTATGCTTACTGTGACACTCCCCACAAGGCCTGATTCTGTCTCTACACCACAAAAATCTGCTTTTTTGGGAAGAAATTTCCTTAAGCCAGACAAAAAACAGTGCAAGTGCAATCAGAATCAGGCCTGCTGTATCTAATTATAAGCTATAAATTAAGCCGTTACTAATCTTGTCTACTTTGTATGATTGACAGAACAGTACAGAGACATGAATTAATCATCCACTCCTTACTGCAGTTAATGGTTTCTCAGAAACAGGAAATGGCATTTTAGTTCCAGCAGTACGTACCATTTCTACATCAGAAACAGGTCCAAAACTGGTGACATATATATCTGTTTTGACTTCAGTAACAGGACCTAATACATGAAAAGTGAGCAAGAAAATGTGAATTTTGTAGGTCAACAATTGTCATAAGCGATCCTGGCATACGAACAGTTATTGCTTTGAGGGTTCTGTGGACAAACAAGAGCAAAATGCAAAAACAGGTCATTTCAGATATGTCTTTAACAACAAGATCTACTCAACTGTTGTTACTCCACAGGTAAGTCAAAGGCATGCAAATTCCCATATAGAAAACCAGCATTGACTCAGCAAAGAAAACAGGTACCAACAAATTAAAAGACTTAAGGAAAACACCATGCTGAATAACAACAAGCACATAATTCAAGAAATCCACATTCCCCAAGGTCTTTATTGCTACCATTCAGTCTTATTGGTAATAACCAGGTCACAGATATTACTGTGCTACACACTAGGCAATTTAGCAGGATCAAGAGATGCATCCACATCCAAATCAATAGTTAAGTTATTTAATACTGACAAACAAAGTAAAACATAGATATCTTAGTATTCTGGAGGGTCTGAACACATGCTACTACATAGCCCCTCTTGCAAGAGCTACTGTTATTTACGACAGTGCACCAAAGTATTGAATATTCATAGCTGGGAATGTCAAGCAACCATCAGAGAAAGCAACTTCATATCAACATGATCAGTCCCTCCAAGACAGGACAAAGCAACTTGAAATACAAGAATGGCATCACTCTGGGTTCACAACTGGGAACTTCAGAGTTTTCTGTAAGTACATATGCAGGATTTATATCAGTTCCCAATGTAAAACTCTAGAAAACTGCTAATTATTAATAATTATAGTTATAATTCTGTGATCAAAGCATAACCTAATGGCTTAATTTGAGTAGTGAACATACATCACAAATGTATGAATATCTGCTGGTTTTCTCACCAAACATTATTTGTTTGAAAACACAGTATAATCTACAAATTTGCAACCACAGTTTCTCTCCTGATACGCAAAGAAGATAAGTGCCTCAAGTCTGTTAATTCAGGATTTATCATAGTATTTGTAATACAAAATTAAAAAGAAGGAAGACTTAAGGAAAGTAAAAGCTGAAGAATTTATGCCTCTGGAAAGAAAAAAATAATTGCTGTTCACAGACAATATCGTTTTGAATCAAATATTAAAAGGAGAGAAATAAATATGCAACTGGAAATTAGGGAAGCTATATTTTGTGCACCTAGAAAAAGTGTCAAACTGTGAACAAAATGTAAAAGAAAACCATATAAAATTATTTCAGAGAGCAGTTTGCAAGTTATGTATAGAAGAACAGCTAAGAACTTTTCAGCTAAATGTCAAGAAACAGACTCTTTAATGGAAGTTAACAGTTCTGTACAGAGACATTTTTTCCAAGATAAAATCTAAAGAAAAATCACCCTACAACAGTTGGTAGCTCAGTGGTCCCTGGAAAGCTGGATCCTTCAGCATGTCTGTCTCAAAGAGGTTTTAAGAATTTCCCAAGTTCCAGATAACACACACTCATAACATTCTGCTCTTCTAAACATGTCAAATGGAAGCCGCTTCCCTTTCTACAAATACTTAAGTATTCGTCATGGTACAGAAACCTATGAGTGGTTGGACCACTCATGTCACTGACAATGTAGTCCAATTAAATTTCCTGAATATAATTATTTCCACAGAGCCCCAAGAAATAGGGAAAAAACTCAGAGCTGTCAATACTAGAAGTGAAAAATTTCACCTGCAGGATTGAAAAACAGGAAAGAAAAGCCCAATCATACTTAGAACGTAGAAACACAAGCAATCCAAATATATCTGATCTCCCATAATCACCACACTATCATTTATCTAGGGTAAACTACGTACAATATACATATTCACACATAGTATCCATTTATTTAATCTGGTGAAGTCAAAATGTTTTTGAAATCAAAGTTCTATAGAAATGACAGAGACATTGTTTCACATTGCTCGAGTCTTTTGTTACCCAACAATTAAAAAAAAAAAAAAAATACTGAAAGTTATACTTCTAAAAAGAGAACAAAATCACCTGTAGTGGATCGGTATCTCTATGGTATCTTCTTTTCTTTACCTCACAGCACACTGTAATTTCATAATTGTATCAAACAGAGCAAAAGGGAACATTTTTCCCATAGGCACGAGCTGGTTTTCCTCAAGTACTGACTTCATTTGTTTTATAAGACTGCTTCACAGGCAACAGCGTTCAGAGACTTTTTGCAACTTTATTTTTTGGGGTTTCTTGGAAAGAAGGTAAGCTCTAAGATCAGGAAATTAACCTCAAAATCTGAAAGCTTGTGATTTCATGCTATTAAGAATCTGATTGCAGCAACATAGGAATAAAAACTGTGCTTCTAGTAACTACTATTCTGCTTTCAAACTTGTATCTACCAGTGGGACCCACGAGACAGAAGGAAGCAGGACAGATAATGAAGCCACATGATAAGGCTGAAATTAAAGTTTACCTTTGCTTTCTCCCGTGACGTGATGGCAGTATGGTGACAAAACAAATGTTCAAAACAAGTTTTAGGCCTCTAGATAACGTCAGATAAACAAGGATCTGCAAACATTTTAGGCATCACAATGGAAGAAACAATATCCACACATTACAGGTGTGAAAATCCTTTCCTTGCATCCAAAACTGTGGTCAAACGTTAAAATGTTTGGTAGGAGAAAAGACAACTGCAAGGGACAGTGAAAGATAATTATTCCCCTAATGCTTTTCCTCCCATCTACAGGCCTGTACCACATCTTCCACCTACAATGTCAGTCCATAACTGTTAAGAGCAAATACCGGATTTTCAAGAGCATCCCAGCACTCAAGGCCAAGCCAAGAGAGCCACGGTGATACCAGAACCTATCCTCTATTCTGCTCATTGTAGAACAGAATATACTAATTCCAATCGGAAACTATAGCAAGGGTAGAAAGAGTGAGTCATGCCTTTTTCTTTTTTAATTATTATTAATTATGGGAATTCCTGTCAACAAAGAGGTGACTTGCAGTCACCTAACCTACTTTTACTAGTGATTCAAGGAGCCTTCCAAAATAAGCATGTTGCACCACTTAATCAACTTGGGCTGTGGAAGCAGAAGATCCTATTAGAAAACTTAAACTTCTACAGCTGGCAATAAAATGCAGGGCAATCTACTTTAAATATGACCACCTGTACTTCCCCTTCAGTGCATGTTCAGAAAACATCTAATCACCATAAGTCTTCAGGAACACTGAAGAACTATTTTTAATATACTGGTGTGTATTTTTATGTCAATGAAATAGGAGGAGAGTCCTACACACTGCAGTGGGAACAGTTAAGTCTGAATCACTGCCTGTAAGATAATATACTTTAAAGAAGCTCTGGTAGAATTAAAAGCAACCCCTGCAAAAAGCCAGAATAGTTCAGTGCTTGATAGAGATGCTACATGTGGGCTGCAGAAGTGATACCGGGCCCTAACCCTGTGAAGAGGAACATAAGACAGCTCTGCCATGCATTTGATGCCAACATATGGGTTGAACTGCAGCAGAACTCCCAGTAAAAGACTTTGGACTCCATTATCCATTCGTTTCCATAGGCAACTGTCACCACAGAGATCTCCACTGTATGTAAACAGTCAAATCCTGCACAGGCTCACTGCAGATTGGAGATTCTGCCATCAAGAGTCACACAAGCAACTGCAAACCTGAGCAAACAAGTCTGTATAAAGGTCTCAACGTGCAAAGTACAATTTAAATGCTAAGCGTGGTCGCTGTTATGAGATCAATCCGGGATACATGAAATTACACTACATCACTTTCCACATCTACATCTTAAAAAAAAAAAGTTTTTGCCTGCTGCATAAAAAAACAATTGTATAAAAAGCATGCTCTCTTGTTTAATTCCATACCAGAGGACAACTGCTACATGCAAAATTTCTCTTGGGAACTTAGAACTGGGTAGGTCATTTCAAATACTCATACTCAATACTACATTCTTTATTCAGAGGTAAATACATTGAATGCCACAGCACATAGCAACTTCTACATTCTTCCAGTATCATGTCTAAACCTTGAACAGGGAAAAACATAACTCCAGAGATGAGGAGAATGTTCTGTTTCTTTATCTGTTCAGCAGATACTCTGCTGATACAGCCAACAAGGCTGACACTGGTGCCTGTTTTCACAGCGTGGGCACCTGTCTACAAAGAACTGGACCAAGAATATCAGCTAATTTTATATAGGTCACTGAACAACAGACAGATGGTAATGACTTCAAGCATTATGGACCTGGGCCAAATTCAAACTAGTCAACTACAGGTATATAACACTATATCCTGTTAACAAGGCTTTGAATCATCTGCTCTCATCAGCTGAAGAAGATTGGACAATTGCCCAAGAAAAAAAATGATTACCTTCACTTTATGATGCTCACAGCCAGTCCATTTGTAATAAACAAACAAATAAATAAATACAAAATCTATTATGCTGGACAATGGAATCTTGGAGGTATGTATGAGTTTTTTAATAGAAGAAGATAATAATGTAGATACTCTTATTTTCTAAATAGAAAATTGTCTGCCCTCTTCACAATTATTCTGCATCTATTTCCTGACTACAGTCATTTCCCTTGCTTTGACAGGAAACGAAACTTAGAAACACTCATAAGCTGAACATGGCACAGCCTAGAAGAGGCAGAAATGGTCTCTCACAGTCTTCTTAAGGAGACAGTGGCCAATATATTTAATTCCACGAGGTATCCCATTGCAATTTCACAATTATGAGATCAAGAGAAAGAGGAAGGAAAAAGGAGAGTAAATGAACACGGTCCTGTTCCTTCTACTCATGAGCCAGAACGCATGGAGACTTTTGAACAGAAAGATGAAGTGCAATCACCACTTTAGTAGCTGACAATGAGATTTCATGCCAAAGTGTACTACACAAAAATAAGCAGAACCAAGGAGAAAGAGAGCTCCAGTCTTCACTGACTGATGGACAGCTACACCACAAGGAGCAAGGAAGATGCAGTGGGCAATACAGCCTGGCTCAGAAGGAATTTTTAAGGCCTAACATCAGAGGGCTTTTCTGTCAACCTAAGAGCCTTGAACAGGAGACATGCCACACATCTTCTTTCTTTAATCTTACTGAAAAACAAAATTCCCAAGATCAGAGGCACACCTAGCAGAAAAATTCATTAGAATTAGCAGGTACACAGGCATTGCAAGGGATGCTCTTTTAACTTGCCACAGCTGCCTCATTCCTTCTTGGCTTTCTAAATGAAGTGTAATGAGCTAGCATATCACATAAGTTACCATAATATTTTAAATTCATAATCTTAATAAGTGATCCTTCTCTTCTACTCAGCTTTGGTGAGGCCACACATGGAGTACTGCATCCAACTCTCTGTCCCTCATTATAACAGAGACCTGAACATACTGGAAATAGTCCAGCAAAGGGCCACCAAGATGACAAAGGGCCACCAAGATGACAAAGGGCC